ACGGCGAAACACGATCGTATACGCGATCGTAAACGCTTGTTTACTACTGTATACGAATCACGTAATCATCGAGCTGGGTTAACACTTGTGAAAGTTCGTATTGGTATTTTAATACATAACACATGTCACTATTAGAACAGACCAATATGAAGAATAAAACCAATTACGACGAAATTTTAGAGAACTGTTGCCAAAAATTTTTGACTACCCTATGTAGTATACAAACTTTGTCTCGATTAATTTATATCCGTCTCAGTTTTCATTCTATAGTGAGTAATTTTTCGTTAAAATCTTTTATTATGATTATAAATATAGATATAATGAATCAGAAAAAACTCGTCAGGAAAAATTAATTTTTCAAATAATTGCTTTCAGAATATGTAGTCGTTTGTGTCAGTGTAAAGCTGGCGTGAGAGTAACCTAGCTGAACTGTTTTTACTTATTAGACTTATAGTATGAGTATTGATTATCTGTCATAGAACTCTGTTCAACTTAGATTCTAGTTATACTGAGCGTTTTGTTGCTACAACCAATTTTCAGAGTATAGCGTAAAAAAAGTACAGAAATTAATTATATTTAAAGCCGAATACTATCACGATCGTTACAAGCTTGCTGAAAAAAACACCAGACATATTTTCCATTCTTGATAAACTATTAAACAATGAATCATCAGTGTTTTTTCAACATATGGTAGTTTAAAATCTCAAATCAGATGAACTCATCTGTTGAATTTATATTTCCTGTGTTTTTGATTGGTATTAGCGTTTTAGTGATACTCATGACAGAATTTATGCAAAACAGCATGATGCAACTTGTCGTGCTAGTTGTTATGTTTTTGATAATAATGGTTGTGCTAATCATGATGCGTATTATGATAGTTTTGTAGTATAGAAATAAATAATTGACGTACTTTCAGATATATATAGTAAGATATTGACATCATAGCCACATTCATATCTTTACTTTTTATTTATTTGAAAGATAGATATGATGGCCTCAGGTCTAAGATATATTTAGTTGTGCTGCTTTAATCTCTTTTCTTCTTCCCACCTCTCTTGTTAACATATACGTCTATTTTGCCTTTGTTTGATGATAGTTTATTAAAGATTATTATATCAACATTCTTTTTTTTCTATTCTCATTGGACAAAAAACGCTTGTAGGATTGAATATAATATTTGACGCAGAAATATTTATAGCCAAAGTAATGAAATTTTTCTCATTATCTTAAACTTGATCTTTATCCTTGAGTCATATTTCAATTTAAATATATTTTATCTTTAATAGGATCATTAAGCTTCTATGACTCGTGACTACATGTTTATAAGATTCTCCTTTTCTGAAAACTTGTATTACTAAATATAATTAAAAAAAGTATAAAATGTCCTTATGAGCAGCTGACTTCTAACTCTTATATTAATTATTTGATGAATATCATTCTTTAAATAGGCAGAAAGGTATTTACACAATAGAGATATGATTCTATTGCGTTTCACATTGTATTCCTAAAATAAGTTTGTTTTCAAAACCACGTAACTACTAAGGGGGCAGATCTATAATAGTAACAAGCAAAAAGAAAATAAAGAAAGATCATATTTGTGCGTTATCACTTAACAAAAAGAAACATTATAATGAATTGTAAATATAGGAAATGCACCTGATCGAGAAGATATTGAACCCTTGATTATTTTCTAATTGGTTTTAGTAGATGACGTAGATAATTAATTCTAATAAACTTCTTAGTTGAAAATAATTGCAATTACATGATTAAGTTTATTATTTTCTTCAAGAAAAACAGTTTTTATCCAGCTTTTCTTAACCATGTGATCACTTTTTTTAATAACTCTGACGCACTTGCAAATTATAATCCATGCTGATGTATTGGTATATAAAAGAATATGTCACAAGCATTCAAAGGTATTTTAATTCTTAATCGTCAGCAGTATGCTCTAGGTATTTTTCCAAATCAGACCGTAGGTGACAGAAAAGTTTCGAGAACAAAGATATATATTTCTCATAACATTGTTTATGAGTTTCCTTATATTCGATGAATTTCAGATTGTTGTTACGGAAATAAATCGTCTATAAATATTTATATTGTGTGTCAATATAATTTAAAAGATGTCTAATGAAGATTGCGAAATTGAGACGCAACAGCAATATCCAAGTATTACACGAAAAGACATGAATATCGATCTTTGGGTCAATATGGATGTGTCTCCGCCTGATCAGGACGTTCATATAATTCCAATGGATACTCTTTTGCAACGTTTTCATACAAATCAACGTACTGGCTTATCCAATGCGTTTGTGCTTGATGCTAGAACACACTATGGCAGCAATAGAATCACACCACCTCAGCCACTAAGTTATTTTTGGCTACTATTCAGGCAATTATTTATGGGTTTTAATTCAATTCTTTGGCTTGCCGGTGTTCTTGCTATTATTGCTTACGAGCCACTTGGTGAACCAAATCCATTGATTACGAATTTAGGTCTTGGTGTTGTACTGCTTTTGGTTATTATTTGCAATGCCGTTCTTAATGTTTATCAAAAAATGAAATCGATTAAGATTGTAGCATCTTTTTCAAAATTATTGCCAACAGTTGCTGCTGTTCGACGTAATGGTATAGAACAGCAGATTGCTATTGATGAAATTGTTCCAGGTGATATTATTTTAATACGGATGGGTGATAAATTACCGGCTGATTGTCGATTTTTAACTTGTGATGAACTTAAAGTAAAAATAATTTTTTTCATTTGTTGTTGTACTGTAAATGTATTTAGATTAATGTATCGGAATTGACCGGAGAATCGAAACTTATTGCCAATGCAGTTCAATGTACTAATCAAAATTTCATGGAATCAACCAACATCGGATTTTATTCTTCATTAGTCGAACAAGGTACAGGTGAAGCAGTGGTGATTGCTACTGGCGACAATACCGTTTTGGGTAAAATGTCACGAATGACACAAAGTAATTCCAACGATGAAATCACTGGTCTCCATCGTGAAGTTAATCGTTTTGTTTTGTTCGTTGTTTCGTCTGCTATCATTTGTATTATCATTTTATGGATCACTTGGGCAGTATGGCTCAGATATAGTCATCCGACTTTTGTTACTTTCAATGATAATATTCTAAATTCTATTGGTATGATTGTTGGTTTCTTACCTCTGGGTTTACCATCGGCTGTAACTCTTGGTAAGTATCACTATGAAATGTTTCTTTTCATTACTTATCTTCTTCTCTTCAGCACTAACAATAGTCGCAAAGAAATTATATCAACAACGTGTATTGGGGAAAAGTTTACAAATTGTCGAGAAATTCAATTCTGTCTCAGTAATTGCGACTGATAAAACTGGTACATTGACTGAGAATAAAATGCAAGTAATAAATATTCTTTGGGATACAGATGGTGAGTATAAAATAATCGAAAATGAAGAAAAAGTGACAACCCTACAAACAATTCATCATCTATCCGTCGACGCTCTTAATATTACTCATCGTGCAAAGACAAGAGTAGCTCCAGTCGTAGAAAAATCATTTAACAATTCTGATAACAAGTTGAATCAAGCAAATAAAGTAAAAATTGAAGTATTTCATGATTTACTTCTGGGTGCTGCATTGTGTAATGATGCAGAAAAATATCTTGTGCAAGATGATCAAGTTACATCAAATATGAATTCAGAATTACGTCTTGTTGGTGATGCCGTCGATATAGCTCTCTACAATCTTTGTGTCTATCAATTTCATATGGAAATTAATGAAATACGTTGTTTAAATTCACGTTTAAAAATATTACCTTTCAATTCATCGAATAAAGTTATGATTTCAGCTAATCGTCTTGAATCATATGATCCATCTACAATTTTAATTACAATGAAAGGTGCACCCGAAATTGTCCTTCAACGTTGTTCATCATATAAGACTAATGCAGGTCAAATTTTGCCATTAACAATTGAAATTAAAGAGAAAATTTTCAATCGATTAGAAATGTTAGGTAAGAAAAATAATTTTCTGTGAAAATACGAAAATGTTTTTTGAAATATTTCAAGGTAGAAATGGTTATCGTATTATTGCCATGTGTCAACAAAAGTTGACACAGATACAGTATGATGAAAGACTTCAATACTATGAAGCAAAACAACGTTTCAGAACTAACAAAGATGAAGATCTGAATGGTTTTCCAACAACTAATTATTGTTTTATTGGTCTTTTCTCATTATTTGATCCACCTCGAGTTGATGTAGCTGATTCTATACTTAAAATTCGTCGAGCACATATTCGTTTGGCTATGATTACTGGTGATCATCCTACTACGGCAAAAGCTATTGCTAAACAAGTAAATATTTTCTCATCAGAAATTTCAAAAAGAAATGGTATCGATACATTTAAAATTGAAACAAATGAAAGAGATAAATCAATTTTTCGATTATATCGTGATGAAACACTATTACAAGAACATACAACCAGTACAGTAACACCATTTAGTCCTGGAAGTAAAACGACTAGTGCAATGGTAAAGCAAATTAGTCAAAATGATTTTGTGAAGGAACCACCATGGTATAAACAATGTTATTCGTCATGTAAAAATCAATTTAGTGAATCAAAATCGATTTTTGACGAAGAAACAGAAAAAGAAAAGGTTCCCTATGCAATTGTAGTAAGTTTGTTTGATGTTTGTATAATTATCAAAAAAAAACATTTTTTATAGGTTACTGGATCTCAAATTGATTTTATGGATGATTTTATGTGGAATTGGGTATTATCTCATCAAGAATTAATTTTTGCTCGAACATCACCCGAACAAAAATTACGTATTATAATGGAATTTCAACGACGTGGAGAAATAGTAGCAGTTATTGGTGATGGAACTAATGATGCTCCATCATTGAAATGTGCTGATGTTGGTATTGCCATGCAATCTGGCGCAAATGTATCAAAAGAAGCTTGTGATATGATTCTACTTGATAATAAATTTTCGTCGATTATTCCAGCCATTGAAATAGGTCTTCTGTTAAGTGATAATTTAAAAAAAGTTATTATCTATTTATTACCTGGAGGTACATAGATTGATTTTAATATATAATTAAAATGTTGATTTTAATTTCTATTAGGTTCTTGGACACAAATTTGGCCAGTCATATTTAATATCTGGCTTGGCATACCATTACCTCTTTCAGCATTTTTAGCTATAGTTTTCTGTATGCTAAATGGTATGTTCAAAGATTATTCATTGTAATTTGGTACTTTTAATCTAAGTGTAACTTTTATTATTTAGATATATTTATCTCACTTGCTATGGTAGCAGAAAAAGCTGAAACTGACATTATGTCTCGACCACCATCGATTCGGAAAAATAATCATTTAGTTGATTTAAAATTACTTGTTCATGCTTATCTATTTGTGGGTAATATTGAATGTTTTACTGCATTTTTTTGTTATTGTTACTATTGGATTGATATGGGCGTACCATTCTATTCATTTATGTTTACTTATGAAAATTTTGGTATCAATCCATCTATTGCGTATAGTTCGAATGAATTGAAAAAAATGATTAATGTATCACAATCGGTTTATTATTCTTCAATGTGTGTATTTCAAATTTTTAATTTCTTTGCTACACGAACACGATATGCATCAATTTTTCAACACAATCCTATTTGGGGTAAAAGTCGAAATTTGTATGGTCTGGGTGCCATTGTTATTTCCGTAAGTATTCAATTGATTCTTACACAAGTTACTTGGATCAATCAAATCTTCGATACAAATCCTGTACCTGTGAAATATATAATGCCAGCACTTGGATTCGGCATATTTTGGTTACTTATTGATGAACTTCGAAAACTATACATTCGTACATTTCCTCGTAGCATTGCTGCAAAAATTGCATGGTAGACGATGTGAGCAATGGCATTACGTTAACGATCAAATATGCTTTTTATTAAATCTGAGAAGGGAGAGTTGTATGTTTTTATTCTTAAAGATACTGTTGATTTAATCATACTTTTTTTTTGTTCTATGAGGATTACTTTTTCAAAAGAGAAAAAATATCGAATTTCTAATTATTGAAAGATTATATACTTGCGTATTAGATATAAAATACGAATGCAGTCACGATTCTATCTTATTTTAAAGCAAACTATGGTTACAAAAGTAATTTGTTATTTTGTGTTCGTTCTTTTCAAGTAATTAAAATTTTTTTTCTACTCATCTAACGTTAAATAATCTTTTGTTTAAGTATCACAGGTTTGATTTTTGTTTTGTTTCACAAATTCAGCTATTATTTAATGTATTGTAGTTCGAGTGAACTCTGAAATATGTCGTGGAATATCTCAATATGATCAATGTTCAACGAATAATGCATGTGGTTGTCTTGCTAAAATAGATGCTACTGATAACATTGGTATTTGTGGTTTTCTTAGGATAACTTGTTCTCAATTTATTTCGTGTGAATCTTCAAACAATACTTGTAATGAGCCTGATCATATCTGTATTCATCATCCTCGATGTCGTTTACACCCCATTTGCTATCCGTTGTTAATGACTGATAAAGAGATCTGTCCACCGAAAACACGTAAGAGACCTCAAGACTAACTATTTTTCTGAATTTTATCTAACCCAATTTTCATTGATCTCCGATTAGCGTCATAAGTCATCATTCGCTTTTCTTCCATTGCAGCATTGCCATATATTCCTCCCAATTCAAATTGGACTCAAGACGGTACCAGTGTGGCGGGAGGAAATGGAATTGGTCGTAAGCTCAATCAACTCTCTAATCCATTCGGTTTTTATATGGATGATACTCAAACACTATACATTGCAGATCTCTGGAATCATCGAATTGTAGAATGGAAGATTAATGCGACCAGTGGCCAAGTGATTGCTGGTGGAAAGGGAGAAGGAAACAGCACTAATCAGTTGAGTCGTCCAAAAGATGTGATTATCGACAAAAAAAAATGATAGTCTCATTATTTGCGACAGTAACAATCGACGCGTACTACGATGGTCTCTTCAAGGTGGTACAAGTGGACAAACGATCATCGAAAATATTACATGTTGGGGTTTGACGATGGATAACGAGGGATTTCTCTACGTTCCTGCCAGTGAGCAGCATGAAGTTCGACGATGGCGAGTGGGAGAAACGAATGGAATTGTGGTGGCAGGTGGAAATGGGCGAGGTGATCGTCTTGATCAACTCAATTCTCCTGCTTTCACCTTCGTCGATCAACATCATTCAGTATTCGTAGCAGACAAAAACAATCATCGTGTGATGAAGTGGATGAAAGGTATGAGCGAAGGCATTATCGTGGCTGGTGGCCAAGGGGAAGGAGATGCTCTAACACAATTAGACTATCCCGAAGGAGTGATCGTCGATCAATTGGGCACTGTCTATGTGGCGGATTGTAACAATCATCGTATTATGCGCTGGAAGAAAGGAGACACACAAGGAAGTATTGTTGTTGGTGGAAACGGTCACGGGAATCAAACAAACCAACTCTATTATCCTACGAGTTTGTCATTCGATCAACAGGGTAATCTCTATGTTGTCGATGACTGGAATCAACGAGTGCAAAAATTCTTAATTGAAGAGTCGTCTCGTAATTAATGGACAAAAATAGTTTTTTGTTTTTGTTCTCGAAAAAGTGCTTCGAATAAAAACAAGAAATAAATGAACTGATTTCATCACTAAACTTAGAATTTTATTTCATTAACTTTAGTATCGCAACTAAAAGACAGCTGAGGGTGAATTTTAAAAAATATTGTTAAATATTACTCAATAATATTATTTAATAAGTAACGAAACATTTTTCTTTAATATTTTATATTGAGAAATATTTATCATCTATCTTTCTTTAAATTCATTTTGATAATAAGTTAGAACACTTACAGAAGTGTGTTCTTATAAATCGAATAATAGAATTATTTAAGGTATATATATTTATTTAATGTAATTAGATAAGAAGAAAAACCAAAAAACTCTAGACTACATCTTATAGATAATTTTGTTTACAAAAAGTATCTTTCTATATAATATAATAATGAATATACATTAAATTAGCAGACAAGCTGTCCTGGCATGCATCTCCAAGTGCCCCAACAATTTGTACATCGTTGACCGTTTGTACAGCCAGTATTACGACAATTGCGACCAGGTCTATGACGTTTCTGTTCCCACCATGTCTGACGTTTTTGATGATACTTCTGAATAACATTTGTTGAATCAGTTGTTAAGCTATGAATATTATATAATTCCGTTCCTTTCATTTGGCTATCAGTCATCATTGATGAATTGATCTTGATTCGATTACCAATTGAATCATCAACTAAATAGAAAAATCGATTGATCTGATATTTATTAAATTATATAAACTTTTCTAGCGAACATTTGTAAGAACAATAATTAATGCTTCCAAAATCTACTAACATGGTATTGCCAAAATATTTTGTATAGCAACGAGTAAGCATATAACGACAATCATTGACTTTATCATTGTTTGAATAATATTTAAAATGAATGATATATGAATCTTTACACTCTATTTATACATCATAAAATAATCTATATCCAATATATAGATCAAAGGATATTTGAAGAAAATTCTTATCTTCTATTTGTTTCGGTATTTATATTTGTATGCTTATGCAATATAGATAAACTATGATATGAAGATAATTATTCATCGTATAGACAGATAGTCACATGTGTATCCAATTGGAATGTTAGATACTAATATAATATTTATTTTACTTTAATCAAAATTGAAGTATCACATGATTTTTATACTCAAATACGGATGACATGTAACTATAGAATCTTATTCTTATAAGAATATTCTATTTCTATCAATTTCGTGATAATAACACTAGAAATAGATTTGATATTGTTTATTTACTTTTGATAACAGCTGACTTTAGTTTTGTTATGTGTTTCTAAAAACGATCTTTATTTGATAAAAATCCTTATATAAGATTTTTTTAATATCCTATTTTGAATTTATCAATCAGAATAGTAATAAAAATAGAGTCCATATCAACCTATTTTTAGTACTCAATTCTACTGGATATCACATAAATAACAGGATGGTTCTGTCATATATTTGACAGAATTCATATATATTCTTAAACAATTTTTTTTGGATGCCGGTGAACTTGTTAATAAAAGATTAATATAACATTGACACCCACCCATTCTCAAGATATCAAAGACATACAAAACCGTTTCAATATATATGGACAGACGATTTCTTCGCCATTGTAGAATATAGACATGAATGAAACTATTTGCAGTTTTAAAAAATCTTATCCTTATTTTCTTTTCTAAGTTATTGTTAGGCTTAAATTACTCACTTCCTATTTTATTAAAAATATATTACACCTATGCATACTAATATCGAAAAGAACCCATATATACACATGTATATGTAAAAAAGAAAGAAAACGAATAATTTATATGCATGATTAGAGGTATAAGCCGATGAGTCGATCGGCGGCGGTTTCATGGTTTTGGCTGATCGGTGGCGACTGAAAATTTTATAAAAAAAAAAGTTTTTTTTCAAATGAAAAATATCTTTATTTCAATATATCAGCCATAATAATGCTCAAAAAAGTATAGGCAACAACTGTTACATCCTTTCACATTGTTTGTACAACACAAAAATGTAAAAATAAATATAAAAAAACGAAAATTTAATTTTCACTCCGATAGATGTGGGCCGTGGCGGCTCAAAAATATATGATTCTTTTCGTCTGTCGGCGGTGGCGGCCGTGTTTTTTGGGAGAAGATTGGCGGCGGCGGCAGCCTACGCCTCTATGCATGACGAATATAAATACAAGAAAGACAAACAGCAAATTAGTGAGTCATTCTAACGTCATAAATATATCGATAAATAAGAAAAATAAGCGAACGTCGATAAAATATACTCCTTTTATGGTAGTTGTGAAACATGATGATGACTAATATGAAAACATGTTATATATGTATAAATAAACAAGAAATATTAATGTTAGTTATGCAAAATCTCTTTGAATAATTGCAAAGAAAAAAAAATAAATGATTATACACCAGTACCCCAACGTTCAGATGCATTGACAACTAGAACAATTACTCAGAGATTTGGTATTTCGAATGGTTTTATTAAAATTGTCGCTCTTGTAGTTGTTTTAATAATTCTTGCTCTTATAGTTATTCCGCTTGGTGCATATTTTGTATATGGTGCATTCCACGATAATGGTAGTTCATCAAGTATCGGCGGTGTTCGTGATGTTGTGAATTGAAATAACAAGATTAGTGGGCAGTGATAGACTAATGTATGAACTGTAGATATGACAACAAACTCTGATATCTTACTATGATCAATAGAAAACTGTTTCCAACTTTGAAAATATTAACCAATCACTGTCTACAATCATACTACAAAAAAAAGCGATTTTTCTTCTAATTGAATCTGTTTATTCGTGCTTTTTTTTGTTGGAATAAAATAAAATATCTTCATTGTGATTCGATAAAAAGATTTAATTTATTCTATCGAGAATCGAAGTGTGTTCACACTTGTAATTGCTACGGGCAAGGTTTGTGAGAAACTTTGTTTAGTACCATTATTGATCTCTGTTAGCCTGTCTGTGAGGCTAAGAGAGAGAGTAAGAGTGTATATGAGTATATCTTGTAGACTTTATTTAATTTAAAAAGACGTATCCTTACAACAAGAATGAATCGTATATATAGAGAGAGAAAGAAATAAAAAATGTGATATATGATCATATTTTTAATAAAATGCGCGCAAGAAAAAGTGATGACTTGACTTATCGCTATCAATAAAATTTTACTTTCTCACAAACGTAAACCAAACCAAAATATCTTATGGCAATCCTCTTGAGATAAAGTCTGTACAAGATTATATCGATGGCAAAAGAATCAACTCGTTTGCTTGAATCATACTGAAGATATTTAAATTCTTTTCAGAAAACTGACTTCTGAACTACTCTCTATACATTGAATTTTCCTAATTGTGAGAAAGTAAAATTGATCTTTTTATCGATTCGTAACGAAGATACTTGATTTTGTTTTCTTTGTGTGACTTTTAGGCTACCCTATAGTTTAACAAGTAAAATTTCAAAAAGTCCTGCACGTTTCGAATAAAATTTGTCACTATTTGATCTATATTAATTTCAAAATATTTTTTTAATATTCTAAAGGTCAATCTCCGACAATCTTTCTTGTCTCATATGATTTCTTAAATGAATTTTTAACCGTTTCAACGACAAAAAACTTCGTTCACATTCACACAAATTTACTGATGCAGTTCAAACCCTACGGGAAAACTGTTGATATTCCTTTGCTAGATTCAGCACATATCTGCATAGAATTTAACTACGATATTTTTAGGTTTATCACTCCTTTTTAACTAAGAAATATTGAGAAAATCAATAGATCTTGAACGAAGTGTGCAGTCATAGAATTTTAAGATATTGTTGAGGAGTATGTGTAGGCGTTGAGTAAACTAAGTATTTACATTCGGAAGGAAAAATCTCATTCAGAATGATTGCAAATAAAATGTTTCCTTTTGGGATAGTTTAATATTGGTTCCATGAATGATGCACAATATCATTATACAGCATTCATATTAACAAATGGAAGAGTATTAGTTATTGGTGGAAGAGATAATGTAGCTTTAGCTAGTATAGAATTATATTAATTATGTTAAAAAAAAACATAATAAATAAAGAGTGAAGTTTGATCTGATTAGTTGTGAGAATATGGGTGAGTGTGAATATATGGATAAAGAGAAATTCAATATCCTCATCCATCTTTAGGATGCAAAATATTAGAGTGTGTGATGTAAATGTACATATAGAAATGCTTCACACTAATCCTTATCTTCACTGTCAAGGTGACACGAAAGATTTTTCTCGGCTATCTACTGGTGTAAAGTGAAGATTATGGTTATTTATTGTCTGAAAAAGTAAATAGACACGGGGACTTTCTAAAATATTTCAGTTACTGCTAAAGAATTATAAGATTTCTTGTCGCGAAGTGAAATAAATGTATTTGAATAACTTGTAAAACTACATGGCTGTTTCTTAATAAAGAAGTGTATATCTATCTGATATCGTTATAAAATATGAGTTTACGAATGATGGACATATTATTAAATTATTTAAATTGATTAGTTATTGATATAAGTAGAGAGCAATATTATCGACATCACCATCATTAGCCGTTCCAGAAAAACGAGTTATGGTGACTGTCACAAGGAGAGAGCGACCACCTACAGGTACAAGTCCTGTAGCTTGTTGAAAGAGTAATGACGTTATGTCTGATCGTTGTGTGTGTGTCACTGGTCCAAGAGTCGTAGTACTACCCCCTTGTTGATTGGCTTGATTTATAAATGTCAATGAGACTTGTGCATAGTCAGTTTGACTTCCGTAGCCACCGAGCCATGCTGAGAAATTAAAATAAACTGTTTGATTATCAATAAGAACAGGATTGATTGAATTGCTCATATTTACATACTGCCACATCGATGTGACTGATCCTGATGGACCACCATAGAAATAACAATTTCCACGATTACTACAAAAAAAAATTTATATGATACTATTTCTGTATTTCTGGCTTTACTTTGGTCCTGAATTTGTGGATAATTGATCAGCATAAGTATTGTTATAATATACTTGTGTAATTGTTCCATTATAGGACCATCCCGTTGGAGGTGTACTACCGCCAGCTGATTCGCATGGTCCCGTTTCTCCATCACCGTTTGTCAACCAATTGGACTTAGATACTAAATGAACAATGAGTTATTAAAAATATCACAATAAAATAAATCATTTGTAATTTATTGAAACTCTCGTTTATGTTAAATGTCTTAAATACAATTCAATTAGTATTAATAAAGTATGAACTCAAGATTTGTATCTATTGATATGTACTTTGAAACAATTATCTTTCTCTAAGTCAACAGTAAAATATATTCAATCATCTATCTATTGAAAATGAACAAGGTTTCTATCATAATCCTATCATTTTTTTTATCTACAATAGAAAGTTTCTACGTAGTAATTAAACTACAGCACATTATTTAGATTAATTAAACATTCTGTCATAGAGAACAAACTTATTGTGGTTGTAGTTGTAGTTCTTGTAACTGTAGCTGTAGACGGGGTAGAAATCGTGGATAATGTTGTGGAAACAGAAATGGATGTTGTTATGTCTGTAGTGAACGCTGTTGTAGGTGTAGTAGATGTCGTTATGACTGTTGTAGTTTCTGTTGCTGTAATAGTGGCAACAAATACAGTAGTAGTAGTAGTAGTAGTTGTAGTGGAAAGTGTAGCTAGTGAAATAAAATACATTGTTAAAAAATGGAAAAAGAAATATTTTAACTTTGAATAAATATGCACATTTTCTCATATTGAGTTAAATATTTAGAGAAAAATATACGAACAAATGTGATCTTCGATTATAAAAAGATATTTTTAATTAGCACTAGTACGATAATAAATTTCCTATACGAATCTCTTGAACTAAATTTAAAATGTGAAAATACGAATTAATTGTACTTGTATTTAAAAACTATGAGATTGATAGATATTCTATTCATTATTTTTTGCTATTTTAAAGGGTTTATTGGCTGTGATTTTACTGGAGGTTTTTCCAATAAATTTGATTTTATCATTAATGTAGTTACTAAAAAGCAATTTGTATCTATAATTACGTAGTTTCCTTTGAAGATCAAAAAAAATATGTGTATACCTTTAGAAGAATGCATAGAAAAAAGAGCAGCAATTAATCCAATAAGTAGAAGAATCATGCATATTAGGCAACAACAACAACACAATTTTAACCATGGAAGTTCACGGTATCTAAACAAACGAGAAGAGAATATAATCAAAGAAATTTCATACAAAAACGTACTTTCG